ACCTTTTTACTGTGAAATCTTTACTGATTTTTATAAAGTAAGCGTAATAACCTATAACTATATTGTTGGTAATATTTCAAGATGAACACTTACTGGACTGAAGCAACTTGACTGTCCATATATAATGGAGAATTTGAGAAAAATCATGTTAAAATATGAGTATCAATATCAAATATGATCATCAGGCTTTTAAGGAACATTTATTTGTTCATCTCTCAATCATCATCGTATTTCATAGAATTATATGTTTTGCCCCCAGAACAAAAACTACAGGGGGAGATATAAAGTTATATTTATATGCATAAACCAAGATTTATATGTATATTATGCAAACAAATGTTCTGTTATACTGATATAAAGCTATAAGAATTTTATGTTATTTTTGGCATATAAATATTAGCAACTGCATCAAATTGCATACTTTTGCTCAGTTTGGGCCTCTGAAGACCATAAAAGTGTTTTTGCCCTCGATTATCACCCATATGGAAATTATGTATATATGCATATTTATTATATACAAAAAAAAAGAATCCGTTTTATTATATTTTTTAAATGTCTATATTTTATATTTGTTTATATAATATCAAGATGTACTGACAGGTTTTAAGATGGATATATATACATGTACAGGTCATTTATATCTAAACATTTATTACAAAAACATACATATTTGTATTGGCTTGTTAATGCATGACATTTTTCAAATTTGTAATATGTTTCATATATGTTTTTACTTTACATTTACATTATATGACAATATATTTCATATATGGACATTTAATATATGTAAATTAATGCACAGGGAGTTCCATATTTTCACTATGTCATACTATACAAGCCATAAGAGTCTGATGCATTAAATATGATATTCAACAAAAAAACACATATGCAATATTTTGCCTGAAGGTTTAATAAAACGTTCCATTACCAAAAAAAAAAAAGTTTAATTATTTAATGTCACAGTTTCGTCACAGTCTCTTTAAGATGCATAAAGGAACATACACAAGAGAGAAATCATAAATGTGTAAACGTGAATAGAGTAAATGTGAATGTTTACACACAACAAGCTGAAGTTTAGATCAAATTTCAATGCATTAAAAAAAATAAAAATTTCCTGCAGTTTTATAGCTCCTAACAATTATCTCACTGTGCCTATTTTATTTCTCCTAAGACATTTTTTACAAAACATCTGTGACAAACCTGCTCAAGTGCATTGAGCTATAAAACAGCAATATCAGAGCAATACAATTTTCTTCATGACCGAGGAAAAAGATATTCAGTGAATCGCTCATGAAGGGACCCCGTTGCTCATTTTCATTCAGAACGACCCCACAAATGAAGTCCTGTTCCTGCAGTGCCCTTCAAGCCAATAAAAATGACAACTGGAACTCATCGAGAGAGAGAACCGATACTCGAGAGGATGTGAGTGTATCTATTACATCTCACACACACACACATTTCTATACTCCCTATAGGAGTATCACAGGCGGCAGATGTGATCTTGCTGTAGTCACTGTGTTATTGCTGTAGAAATCTGTTTATCTCGCACTTCATAAAAGCCAATCAAAACTGCACGAGTGACAGCCAAACGCAGTAATTCAAGTCCTGCGTCTTCATATGAATTATGAATGATCCATTTATCCACCTCTGAAGATGTTATTGTGATTTAATGCACTACCGCCAACGCTTACGCTTAAACTGTTTTGAACTGGTCACTTTTATACCAGGTGCGGTGCAATTACAGTACTTTCCAGTTTTAAGTTGTTTATCTGTGCATAAAGAAGGCAAAACGCTACGCTAAAAAATACTATTATAATATCTAATAATATTTTATTAACTTTTATTTTTAGATTTACATTTTTTTGTCATTTTGGTTTAAGTTTGAGAAATTGTATCATTTTTATTTCTATTTAGATTTAATACATTTATTTCAGTTTTCATTTGACTAATTTTATACTTTAACGTATTAGTTTAGATATTTCACTTGTTTGCAAAGCAACATTTTCATTTGTTTTTTTATATTTGTAAGTTTTTCATCATGTTTCAGTGTTCAGTAAAAAAATGTTTTAGTAATTTGTTGTTATTTTGCTATTTTTATTTTGCTTTTATTTAGATTTACTTATTTATTTCAGTTTTCATTTGAGTAATTGTAATACTTCGTCTTATTATATTTCCGTTAACTACCAAGGCAACACTTCTTATTTTCAGTTTCCATCTAATTCATATTTCAGTTTTCATTTAAATTTTGCTGAAAAATTGTTATGTTATTTTGTCATTGTTATTACTTTGAAAAAATATTCCTATTTAGATTTCATTTAATTTTCGTTTTATGTTTTAACACTTCAACTGCAACATATTTCAATCAATTGTCATTTTTGTTTAAGTTATAAGTATAAGTTTATGTATTTTTCATCATTTCAGTTTTCATTTGAATTAGGTTCTATAGTAAATGTTTAGTAGTTTTATTAATTTCTTTTTAAACATTTCAATTTGGATTTAATGTATTTATTTCAGTCGTCATTTTAGTAATTTTAGTACTTCAACTTCAATTCATCACAATTCACTTAATTGCCAAGGCAACATTTCTCATTTATATAAGTATAATTTATATATTTAATATATACATTTGATGTTTATTTTTTATTTCAGCTTTATTTCAATTAACAAAAATAGTTTTTAATTGTCTTAGTTTTAACAACAATTTTCTTCACATGAACACAATGCTATTTTACAGATCCTCACTGTAGTAAGCGTGTGTGTGTGTGCGTGTGAGGAGTCAGAATAAGGATATTGAATTTCCTCCCTCATTATGAAATCATGTCAGCTTAAATCAAGCAGCAAGAACACAATTACTGCAGGAACACATGCTACATCAGATCGAACACATTTCATCTGACAGCACTTTCTAAAGTCCATCTAATCTTATTCCAGAGCATATGAAGTGCAAAACCCAGCTTCAGTTTTAGGTCTGCTATCAGTGGTGTGTGGAGGTGTGAGGTCAGATCTCTGACAGAAGGACGGATAATTGGACGTGCGTCTCAAACGGACTTATTTCTGGTCCGTCTGCGCTAATATTCTGTCAATCTCACACAATTAGAGGCGAAGGCTGTGAAAAAACGGTTTATAGTTTGAGGTAATTAGTGATCACGAACAAAACCAACACGGAAAGAGCAAGAAAGAGAAAGCGAGAAGCAGAGAGCATGAGAGCCTGATGCAGAACTTGCCGGAGGCAGAGATTCGCAGGTGCGTGTTTGATGTCTCAGATTTGTGCGAACATGTGGGTGGGTGGCAGACAGGTCTAATTTGTAAGCTCCCTCTTGCCAAACAATAATCCTTGTCCAGGTTTGACACTCAGTCCCTTGAAGTTCTCTCCCCTGCAGTCATGCACACCTATTAAAATGGCCTGGTTTGCGAAAGACCAGGAAAGCACGACTCTTACGTTATGAAGGTGGGAAGAAGGCAGAAGGTAATTAGCTTCTGAACTGAAGAATAAGAACAGATTTATCACAAAAACATCAAAGAGAGATATAATCGAGTCTGAGGTTCAGACGTGAGAACCGACTGCGGCTTGCAAAAACAGGCCTTTGCAAACTCTCAAATCTTCTCAAGTTAAAGAGAATATTGAACAAAGAGTTCAGGAGAATTATTTGGGCAGGGCAGATCAAGGGATGTGAAAAAATGCACAAAATCAACTACTTAAGTTGCAGAATGCGTGGGACTCGAGATGTGCTTTCAAAAGTGAAAGTATTTTTCCATTCATGCTGACTTAAAAATGCAATACTCGTAGCGGGACGCTCAAAAAAACAGCGCAAGAACTGACACAAAGTCCAAAGATGTCTGAAAGTGTATGGCTGCAGCAGTGGTGATTTAAAGACAAAAAAAATGCTTTAAAAAAAGCATGACGTCATTATGCTAATTCAAATATAATATGCTAATAAAATAAAAAATAAAAAAGAGAAAATCACTAATCGCTAAACAGCAATTGCCGTTTAAAATCAGTGCTATCAAATGATTAATCGCGATTAATCGCATCCAAAATAAAAGTTTTATTTGCATAATATGTGTGCGTTCTGTGTATATTTATTATGTATATATAAATACACACGTACAGTATATATTTTGAAAATGTTTACGTCTATATTTATATTAATATAATTTATATAATAAATAAATATATTTAATATATAAAAATAACATATTTTTCTGAAATATATACATGCATGTGTGTATTTATATATACATAATAAATATACACAGTACACATACATATATTATGTAAACAAATACTTTTATTTTGGATGTGATTAATCGCGATTAATCGTTTGACAGCACTATTTAAAATATGATTTAAAAAAACACTGTTTGTAGGGCTGCACAATTTGGCACACTTTTAGTAGTATTATAAATACTATTGAAGTATCTAATAATATTTTCAATCATCTTTAAATTTTCAATTTTTATTGTAATTTGTCATTTTATAATTTAATTATATTTAGATTTAATTATTAATTTCAGTTTTCATTTTACACATTTTAGTACTTCAACTTCAGCTTCTTATATTTCAGTTTCAGATTAATTTCTCATTTTCATTTGCTTTTTATAGTTTCTAAGTTTTTCAAATGACCTATGGCTAAAAGAATGATGTAATTATGCGAATTAAAATTTAATATGTTAATAAAAATATAAAATATATTTTTAAAAAAAGAGAAAAATCACTAAGTAATCGTCCGCAATAAGGCTAAAATCATCCGCTGAGAGGCCAGAGTGATGTTTCCTTGTCAAACTGCAGAAATAAGCCAAATCCTTATATTGTACATGTACTCTCCGGGAGAATTTATTTGTATGAGACTGTATCCAGCTCTGGCACAGGTTTGAAACATCGAGCTCCTGGCAACAGTAAATCACTCAAAGTGCTGTGAATGAATTTCCTCGCTAAGACGGTGCTAAAATAGCCGTGAAATGTGAAAAAAACTTTGTGTTACTTGGCACTGAATGCTCACCTCGTGTTTGCCCTTCATTCTACAGATGCGGATGTCATTCTTATTGGATTCCCACGTCCTTTTCTGTGAAACAACAAGGGAGTAAAATCATTACCTACATTCAAGGTAAAATAAGCAAGGTGTTCATACATGCAATTGTGTGTGTGTGCGTGTGTGTGTGTGTGAGAGAGAGAGAGCAGTACAAGGGCTCACCTTGCTGTAGAACATTTCATCTCCAGATACATGGTCCAGTTCCACTCGATAAAGGTCATCTCTGCACCAACACGCACCAAGCAAGGTGTTCATACATGCAATTGTGTGTGTGTGCGTGTGTGTGTGTGTGAGAGAGAGAGAGCAGTACAAGGGCTCACCTTGCTGTAGAACATTTCATCTCCAGATACATGGTCCAGTTCCACTCGATAAAGGTCATCTCTGTAGCAACACACACACACACACACACACACACACACACACACACGAAGACCAGCATTAGCAGTAACAATGAAAATGGGCCTTAATTTAATATTAAACTACTGAATACTTTCCGTACTATAGTATGCACTACACAACACACACAAACATTAAAAAAAATAATAATTTGTTTTCTACTATTTATGAAATGTTTTTGGTTTATCCCATTTTCTTGTTTTGAGCATAAAGCTACTAAAAATACATTAGGTTTATGCTTAAAAAATGAGTAAAAATACTAATACTAATTAAAAATAACAATACAATAAATAAAAATAATTGAAGACATCTTCAAACGATCTAATATTTTGCTAAGTAAACTTACCAATGCAACTGCCATGTACTAGTTGTTATAGTTGACTAAAACATATTAATAATTGTTTTTGTTAATAAAGCTAAAATAAAATAAAACATAAATATGGGATGAAAAACTAAACGTAAAACTTAAAATATTAAAATGACAAAAATTCAAATAAATATAAATGAAAGCTAAAGAGAAATGATCAATACATAAATAAATGAAAATGACAAAAGCACATAACAAAAGTACTAAAAATGAAAATGATAGCTGATAATATAAAAACCTAAGGTAATATTTTTTAATGATATTAAGTACTAAATAGTATATAAATAATATCAAAACAACAGTCATGTAAACAATAACTTATATCAATACACAAAATCATGATGTTAAACTTACTACATGCTCAAGAATATTTCCCCACTGGCAGTGAAGTACATAGTGTAGCATAGAGAATATTAGAAGCATGCAAATCAAATTACAGCCTAAATCATGTGAAGTGACGTGTGGCCAAGTATGGTGACCCATACTCGGAATTAGTGCTCTGCATTTACCCATCCAAAGTGCACACACACAGCAGTGAACACACACACTGTGAACACACACCCAGAGCAGTGGGCAGCCATTTATGCTGCAGCGCCCGGGGAGCAGTTGGGGGTTCGGTGCCTTGCTCAAGGGCACCTCAGTCGTGGTATTGAAGGTGGGAGAGAGCGCTGTACATTCACTCCCCCCACCTACAATCCCTGCCGGTACGAGACTCGAACCCACAACCTTTGGGTTATGAGTCCGACTCTCTAACCATTAGGCCACGACTTCCCCACATGTGACTAACTTGAGACAAGACAGAAAGATAGATTTCAGCACATAACACACTGAAGCACTAAAGGGTTTTGATAAAACTTATCCATCAACCTGTCTATGAGAACAGTCTATATTTGAGTTCTCAGCTCTGGAGATGCCAGCCTCAGAGTTTTGTGGTGACAGGAACCGGTTTATAAGAGTTTCAACTTTCCAGAATGTGTAAGAGAGTTTCTAAGAGCGCTCGGAAACTCAAGATAGACTATATCTGTTCTCTAGCTACAGAGAAAGCAAGCGTTTAAGCGGCTCGATTGTGTAATGGTTAAAGGTCAGCGAACAGGGGTTTAACTTTCAACCAGCGCCTAACCAGGACCACATGCCAACTCCCTGGGGAGTGCAAACCCTTTGAAGGCCTGTCCATGTGACCGATTTCAAAGATGCAACTAAATGTAACACCAGTCAAACTGGACACAGATTTCCCATCAAAACATCCACACGCACTCTCTGACTGTGTGGAGAGAACATGCTGTTATACGGGCTGATGGTGTTGAGCTATAAGGACGGGGTGTTCATGTCAGAGCTTTGAAACGTAATGACATTTTCTCATTGTGTAACCTGTCATTTCAGTTTAAGACCAATTAGGTACCGAGATGGTGTAGCGAAATAGAAAGGTTTTAATAACAGAGAGGATATTATATTCATGTTATATTAATTCAGAATGTAAAACTTTGTTACTGCATGAATAAAGGGGGTGGCATTAAAGCTCAAATTAATATCTTGATGACTAAAAAGGTTGTCAGTTACCACCACGGTTATTAGAAATAATTATAGTAAAAGATTTTGGTTAATTGACGTGAAGCCGAAATATAAAATCTAAAAATATGAGAGGAAAAACAAAAAAATTTGAAATGCTGTCATGGCAAGTTGAAGCACTAAAATTATTAACTGGAAATAAATAAAAACTCAAACTGAACTAAAACTAAAACAGCATTAAAAAATCAATTAAATCTATAATCATGAAAAAAAAAAACCCGAATAAAAATATTAATAAAATAATAATAATAAAATACCAATAAAATGACAAAAGCACATTTCAAAATGACTCAAAGTTTAACTTAAAATGAAAATGAAAATATAAAACTAAAATATAAAAATAAATTATTATTTAATATTTAAAATAATAATAAAATAAAATGATGTAAAAAGATGATATTACAGTTTTTATTAAGTAAAATTGTAAAAAATATTATCATTTTTTACTAACAATAATATTTGAATAATACCAAAATAACAATGATTACAACAGAAAATAATTCACTTCTTCCTTAGTACAGTATGTGCAACAATATGCAAAATAAACAGTCTTTATTTTGCTTGCCCTTACAAGTTGTGCAAAATCTATTGAAAAATTCTTTATAATTTGAAGCGTGCATTGTTGAGTTGTTGGCATTACCTGGCTCCGATGTAGAGCGTGCGGTTGACTTTCAGGACGGTTTGAATATACAGCGGCTCCTGACGGGTGTAAGAGCGATGCGCTCGGCCCACAAACACTGGATAGCGCTTCACCACTGACAAATAAAGAAACAGAGAGAATTCAGAAGAGAGGAAAGTCAAAATGTGGAAAAATGACTAGCTGAGATGGAAGAGAGAGACATTAGGGGCACCCAAACAAAAGAGCCAAAATATGAAGTATGGATGGATGAAACAGACACTAAAACACACGTCCATCACTTTCCCGGAAGAGTTAGAGATGTAGAACCTCTGAGACGAAGAAAGGACAAAGACATACATCACTGAGTCTTTGCCGTGCAGAGTCCAAAAACAAGCTGTCTTCAAGCGAAAGTTCACTCAAAAACAATAAATCTGTCATATTTACACACACTTATGTTGTTACAAACCTGTATGACTTTCTGCCTGCTCTTTTCAAAGCAATTACAATGAATAGAGAATAAAGATTCAGAAGCATCACAAGCTTGGTATATACAACTTGTGTGCTACTGTATATTCCAAGTCATATGATAGATTTTTGTAACAGGAATATGCATCATCACTCACTGATAATAATATATTACAGTGAACTGTTAACCACTTAGACTGGATCATTGAATCAGTGAGTTGAACTCAAACTGAATCAGTTCAATTCATGAATTAATCTTTTAGTCTGTTTTTGAACTGATTCACTGAAAAACATAAACGATTCAATGAAAAGAATGATTTGTTCACATTATGAATGTGTCACGTGGACCACTTACATAGATGTTACATACTAATATGAGATATGCACTTTTAAGGTACTTTTTTTTTTGTCATTTTAGAACTTGAAAGCCCCAGTTCTAATTTACTTAAAGGTGACATATCATGAAAATCTGACTTTTCCAGGTTTTAAGTGCTATAATCAGGTTCCCGGTGTATCTACCAACCAAGGAAATGTGAAAAAGATTAACCCAGTAACTTTGTTTTGGGAAGACTTTTTCTGCAAGCATCTGAGAAAACGAGCGCGTCTGATTTCGCTCGCTTGGTGACGCTGCAAAGGGATCTCATTATAATATTACCGCCCCTTAATCTGAAAGTTTCCACCCACGGCACCGTCATTTTGATTTCACATGCGACAACAGTGTACCAGTTTTAATGCCATGGTGAAAGTTTGAGCAAAACATGCTAACTGTTCTGTCTTTGGCTGCACAGACGAGCACAGAACACTATTTAGAGTCTCAGTCTCAGAGGAGACAACAGAGAAGTGGATTTATTGATTTATTTACTGTATATTGCTGCTGCCACACAGATCTTAAATAAACATGCGATTTATTTCCCAGCAGTTTACCTTCACAGACATAACCGGCTGTTTTTGTAACCCATGTGTGTTTTTAACATAAACTTGTGTGTGAATGAGAACTTAGTTTAGTACTCACACGCGGTGACAGCCGCTTTCTGTCCGTGTGCACTCTTATATCAGAAGTTTAAACTCATATGGTTTAAAACGCATTATTTCAGCATGATAAACATGATAATCAGAACCAAAACAGATGTTTCAGCAGCCAGGTATGAGCTGTAATGGCGCAGCTCTATTCTGGAAAAGGGGGCGGGGAGTAGCAGCTCATTTGCATTTAAAAAGACAGGCACAAAAAAACAGCGTGTTTCTGCTTCCCCTCAAAATAGGCATGTTCAAAATAATATAATAAATGAGCTGTGGGGTATTTTGAGCTGAAACTTCACAGACACATTCTGGGGACACCTGAGACTTATAATACATATTGTAAAAAAGGGGCCTAATATGTCTCCTTTAAATTATATTGAAAATATAAGCCAGTATATCCATGAAAAATATCCCCTTTTTTTTAATGAATGAATGAACACACACAACGTTGTTATTGTTAACTAAAAGTAAAATTGAAACATGCTAATTTGCGAATTAAAAAATTGTTAATTAAAATATATCAGAATGAAAATAAAGTCAAATAAGTTATTAATAAGTTAAAGTACTAAAATTAATCAAACTAAAATAAAAATACATTTAAATTAGAATTATAAAATATATATTTTTAAACAAAAATAATAATAAAAAAAAAGAATAATGACAAAAGCACATAACAAAATGACTAATAATTAAAACAAAAACTAAAAGTATAAACTAAAAGTTAATCTAAAGGATTAATAATTATTATATTACATTATATAATAGTGCATAATAATACACACAGTAAGTGCTAATCTTATTATGCAACCTGCCCTGACAATCAGAGTCCTGGTCCAATGTCCTGTCACATAATTAATATTCATGCGCAAAGCTGATAAGTTTTATATTGAGTGCCTCCTGTATAAACTGCTGTGAAAAGAGTCACTAGCAGTTCAGAGAGCGTTCACACATTTCAGATAAGGAAAATTGCCTTCCAAATGCTGTGGAAAGAAGTTAAACACAATTAGAAAACAGATTACCAGTGGAAAAAAAACCAACAGGAATGTGTCCTCCAACCACAGATGGATCTGAGAAGCCTGAGGACACCCACATATTTACTGTGAATGCTAATGATATTTCTTACAGTTTCTGCTACTAATTAATTCCACTGGAATAAGGAGAGAAGGATAGAGATACTGCTGTTGTTGCTGGCTTTTTCTTTGCCTCTAGTTGTTTGGACACATTTCACAAGGGTTTAAAATGTTTTTGTGCTTTGGAAAGAGCAATTAAGTGTGGAAAACCCTTAAAAAGGTCACGTTATTTCACTTTGATTCACACACACACACACACACAAGCGCTGCCATGTTTGTTCTCTAAATCTAGCCCTCATATAAACCTTTCTGCTGTTTTACTTACTCATTAAGACATTATTTAGTATGTTTACTAAGCCGTTTTCTTCACAGAGAGCGAACACTGGCAGGACCTCACAGCGTAGGTGATTTCAGGTTTTACTATCCTTGTGGGGACAAAACCTGACCCACATAAACACCAGCTACATTGTGCTGGATGACCTTTAACCTCTGGTCTCTACTGAATCATTAGAGGCGCGTGAGTGGTTGTTCATCAGTATCACTGATTCTGCTTTGTGGGATCTGTAGGGAATACGGTCCCTTGTATACACACACACACATACAGTACACAGAGTTTGTGTCTTGCTTGTTCCAACACCATTATGTTAAAAGGCTTTTAAAATGATCACAGCCATATGGTGTATTTCATCCATTCTTGAGCGCTAATGTGCAAAACTATTTACAAACAATGCGACGTGTCCACATCGTATGTCAACCATATGCACATTTAAAAGAACACTTCACAACAGCGGTAGTGCAACATACAGTGTACAAGCTTTAACATAACCACAAGAAAGCAGGCATTACAGTGACTTTACCACATTTAAAGGGAGAGTGCCCTAACCATTGATATATGGACAAAAATACTATGGAAGTCAATGGGACTCAAATCTGTTTGGTTACCAGAATTTTTCAAAATATCTTCTATGTGTTCAACAGAAGAAAGAAAGAAAGAAAGAAAGAAAGTCATATGCATGAGGGTAAGTAAATTATGATACAGAATTTTGGTGGACTATCCCTTTAAGGGTTGAGTGTGAACTATACAATAATGTGTAAATAGAAATACAAAGCTAAATAGAAATACACACACACACACAAATATTTATACACACACACACATACAAAACGACACACAAACATGACAAAAAATTTCCGTAAAATTGCTGAATGTCCTGGCAGAAACTTACCAGTATATTTTCATTTTTTTGTTACATATATAATAATATAATATAATATAAATACTATGATAGTATATAAATAATACTAAAATAACACTGATGCACAGCCGACACACTTCAACTAAAAATAACAAAGTAATGGTATTTATTTTTATCAACAAAGCAGCAGTGGTATCATATATTTGGCTTCTTTAGCTAAAATAGTAAATATCTAAACAATAATATTACGTAATAATAATAATAATAATAATAATAATAAATCACTGGTAAAATCATTGTAACTTGCAAAGGAATTTTCTTATATGCTTATGATCATGGAAACTTGGCACAGTTTGGAATTCAACTGATGTGCCTTTTCTCAAAGCTAATTTACGAGCCAAAAATAGTAACTGCTGATTGTGCTGTTATGCTCTAAATGTATATGCATAAAAGATCATAAACGTGGCATTTATGTCTAACTGAAAAATAACCTGCTGATGTTGCTTAACTGATACACTGTAATTGGTGAGGGGGCGTGCTCTTACCCTCAGCAGGGGCGGAGATTAAAGGGCCAGGTTCCTCTGGAAATGAGCAGGCAGCCAATTGGAGGACAGCAAAGATTCGTAAGAAGCAGGGGGTCAGGGTCGCCATGGCAGCGACACACCACAGCTGTGAAGACAGGAATAGAGAAATGATATTAACTTAGAAAAACAGTGAAAAGAACACAATACAGTACTAGTGAACTGCGTCAACATTCACTATCTGCATAGGCAACCCCCTTGTAATGCAAAATTCAATCTACATAGTTAAAAGACTTACACAAAAAGTAATTGTCACATGAAAGCATAAGATAATTGTTGCTAAGCTAATACATCAGTGATTTAATAACCACAAAATTGCAATATCACATGTAAATATTGCATACAATTGTGGATTATAAAATAAAAATAAAAATACAATATCAATCGTTAGCTGCAGTATTGAATAAAATATATTTATATTCAACATTTTCCTCTGTCAGTCATTTTGGATCAGGTTTATATTCATCAAAACTATTAGAAACATTTTTGTTAATTGAAATACAGCTGAAATAAAACATAAATATTAGATGAAAAAGAAAATACAAAACTGAAGTTGAAGCACTAAATTGGAAATAAATAAAAAAGAAAACTAGAATAAACTAAACTTAATTTAAAAAATAAATAAAACCTTAATAATGAAAGCATAACAACCATTTTAATTTAATTTATAAATAAATTAAAACAAAAATAAAAACCAAATCAAAATATTAATAAAAACTATAACATTATAATACCAAATAAGACAGTTTTGGATTAAAAATGTAGCTTGTCCAAGGATCTTATTAAAGCAAGTTATTTTCTAGCTCATATAATATAAAGACTAATAGCTCAGAAATCTAAATAAATGTATAAATAAAATGTATTGTATTAAAAAACAGTAATAATATAACAGATTTGACCGTTTTTTTTAAATAGCTTAAATGACACTAAAAACTCTATTTTGCAGAAACTGTCCTGCAAAATGTCTGTTTACAACATCGACCAGCAGGAGCTATCGGAGCCATGCACTGATTTTGGCCAAATCAATGTAACAAAACTTTTCAGTTTACTTCTGGAACAACCTTTAAGTCAGACACACCCCTATATGATGCCTAAAAAGTTGCCTAGGTAGGCAGCACATCAGGTTTTGGAGCTAAAAATATAACACACAAACAAAGATACTCTGTAAAAATGATTTATGATACAAAGGAGCATTAGACGTCTTGTGTGTTAGACGTGCCTCGTGCCTTCAATGAAATTAAATGCATAGGCGACTCCACATGAGCATGAGTCGAAACAGAAGCTGTTTATGATTTAACATTTGACATTTATTCGGCCACTTTATGAGGAACAGACTACTTACAAAAACCACAATACCTGTCTGTAAAGCAAAACAGACTTGCGTGATTTTAACGGGTGTTAGGAAACCGTCTGTCTATGAGTGAGTGTAAGTGGGGCATAAAACTGCTTAACAAAAGCTTTCATCTCCAACAATCAGTTCTTCCTTCAGACAGAAACCAGATGAGAGTCGTGAGGGCTTCTCTTTCACGGACAACCCTCAATTACCGAAGAGTCCCGAGACCACACACACACACACACACACACCGTAATTCATCTTCAGCACCTTTTCATTGAGTCTATGAAGGAAGGAGTGACCGGTGGCTTTAGCAGGAGGACCAGAACGATGCCACCATCTGCTCTTTTCTTTTCCACACTCTTTTTCATCTGTCCTTTTCTTTTTTCGCTCAGTGTGATTGCTGTAATTGGGTAATTTATGAGAGCGTGTCAAGCCTTCCTCCTGCAGTATATTACTGACACAAACACACACGAGACAGGGTGAACTACGGTCAAGCTTCACGTAATCTGAAAAGTCTCGCGCAGACTTTGGACTATCATATAAAGCAAATACAGTTTATTTTTTAGTAGTTGATGAATATCAATGAGAATCATGTTGAAGGTATCGAAAGATCCCAGTCAGTTTGAAATCAAGAGGGAATGCTGAAGAAATCAATGGAATATGTTTAGAATACATTACCATTCAAAAGATTTGGGGTTTGTATGTTTTTATGCTCACCAGGGCTACATTGATTTGATTAGAAATACAGTAAAAACAGTGAAATATTATTGTACTTTAAAATACCTGCTTTCTTTTTGAATCGTTTTTAAAATGTAATTTATTTCTGTGATGCAAAGCTGAATTTTCAGCATCATTACTCCAGTCTACAGTGTCACACGATCCATGCAGATATCATTCTAATATGCTGATTTCCTGCTCAGGAAACATTTCATTTTATTATCATTGTTGAAATATTTTTTCTTTATATTTTTGTGGAAACCGTAAGCATATTTTTTCAAGATTTCTTTTTTTAAATAGAGAAAAATTAAATAGGAAAAAAAAATATTTTGTAATATTGAAAATATCTTTACTTTCACTTTCCATCAATTTAATGCATTCATGCCAGTGTTATTTTGAATATATATATATATATATAGTTTTATTAATATTTTGAATTTAATTTTATGTTTATTTTTTCCCATTTTCATTTTTTTGTATTTCTGCCATTTTTATTATTTCTTGATTTTGTTTTTGTATTTCTATATTTTTATACATTTTATGTCTGTTTTAGTTCATTTACTACATCTAGTCGAATGCTGAAACTATACAATAATGTGTAAACAGAAATAAAAATCGAAATAGAAATTTAGAAACAGAAACATTTGAACAGTAGTGTAGGGAATATTAATCCTTTCAAACACATAATTTCAACAATATAACTTAAACAAAACAGAATATACATTTGCTCTCAAGAAAGCCTCATTTCCTTCCTACTAACTCAAACAAAAAGAGCCAACCAATTGGATTTGGAGTTTTGAATAATATTTGCGTAAAAATATTACTCAGGCAATCCATGGACATGCCATCAAAAGCTAAAGTCACTATAAGACACTGAAGTAATGATGAATTTCATCATTAAAACCTAAAAATCTGAACCGTTTCAATGACAGTGATGGTGAGCGTTTTGCCTCAAAGGATTTGTTTGAGACCTTTCTCAATTATCCCTTCTTCTGCTTTCAACAGGCCTCCAACAATACATGCATTATCACTTAAATTAGATGAAACAATGAATAATGTAATTAAGACATCCCTCAGGATGACAAGAGATGAAGAGATGAAAAACTAATTGAAAGAATTTTAGATGCCTTTGGAGAAAAGTTTTGAAATTAATAGTGGCCTTTTCAATTCATAAATTCATAAGGCAGAAATGAATCTCAATGGCATTAGAGAGAGACGAGTACTATGACTCTATTAGTCCATTAGCACGCCGCGCACACACAGACACGATGTTAATCCACCGCACACATAAAACAAAGAACATTGTCAAACACATTACTTGAAAGAGCCCACACCGTACTCGTTTTTATAAACAGTACAGTGGCGCTGCAAAGACAAACATCACAATTACTGCTGCTCACATTTGAGGTTAGGGATTTGAACAAATCACCAACCCTAGGTAGTAAACTTCAGTGTTGTTTGTGCAATGATTGATGCCTCAAACCGTGCAGCTTGTTGAAATGAAGTGCGCTATTACTTTTCTAAGCAACCAGACAGAATAGTCCACCCAAAAATCCAAGATTGGACATCCAAGATGTACGTAGATGAGTTTGTTCCTTCATCAGAACAGATTTGGAGAAATTCAGCTTTACATCAGTTGCTCACCAATGGATCCTCTGCAGTGTATGGGTGCCGTCAGAAAGAGAGTCCAAACAGCTGATTAAAAAACATCACATGTAATCCACACCACTCCAGTTCATCAATTAACATCTTGTGAAGTGAAAATCTGCGTGTTTATAAGAAACAAATCCATCATTAAGACTTCAAACTGTTGCTTCTAAAATACGAGTCCTCTGTCCATAATATCGCTTTCTCCAGTGAAAAAGTCATCTTGTCTGAATCAGGTGAGAAATATGTACAGATCAAGCACCGTTTACAAATAAAAACAGTCCAAAACTGTTCTAAAATATATGTCAGTAGATTTTGATGTGAGAGGACAACAGAGGATGGACTTTTTCACTGAAAGAAGTGTTATTATGGATTATGGACTTTTTGTTTTTCAGTTTAAAGTTAAAACGTCTTGATGATTTTGCATTTGTTTCTTATAAACACGCAGCTTTTCACTTCACAAGGTGTTGATTGATGGACTAGAGTCGTGTGGATTACTTGTGATGTTTTTATCAGCTGTTTAGACTCTCATTCTAACGGCACCCATTCACTACAGAGGATCTACTGCTGAGTAAGTGATGTAATGCTACATTTATCCAAATCTGCTCCAGTGAAGTAACAAACTCATCTATTACATCTTGGATGGCCCGAGGGTGAACATTTTCAGCAAATTTTCTTTTTTGAATGAACTATTCCTTTAAGCATCCATAACATAACAGAACACAACTGCATAGCAATGCACTAAAAACCTTTACCATTGTGGTAGCTTAAATAGGCACCTACTCAAATGTTTTTCCTTTACATATATATATATATATTTTTTTTCTTTTTTTTCTTTAAAAGAAAGTCTTACTGACCCCAAACTTTTGAACGCAACAGCAAACTGATGTTTTTATCAGCTGTTTAGACTCTCATTCTAACGGCACCCATTCACTACAGAGGATCTACTGCTGAGTAAGTGATGTAATGCTACATTTATCCAAATCTGCTCCAGTGAAGTAACAAACTCATCTATTACATCTTGGATGGCCCGAGGGTGAACATTTTCAGCAAATTTTCTTTTTTGAATGAACTATTCCTTTAAGCAACCATCCATAACATAACAGAACACAACTGCATAGCAATGCACTAAAAACCTTTACCATTGTGGTAGCTTAAATAGGCACCTACTCAAATGTTTTTCCTTTACATATATATATATATTTTTTTTTTCTTTTTTTTTCTTTAAAAGAAAGTCTTACTGACCCCAAACTTTTGAACGCAACAGCAAACTGTTTTTTTTTTTTTACTTCAAAGAGCCAGGAAATCCGTTTTCCATGTTATGACCCCTGTAAGTTGAAAATCTAAATCGTATTCAACAAAATGTTGTGTGTGTGTGTTTCAAGGCT